TGTTGCACAGGTTAGTATTGCACAGGTTAGTGTTGCAGAGGTTAGTATTGCACAGGTTAGTGTTGCACAGGTTAGTATTCCACAGGTTAGTATTGCACAGGTAAGTGTTGCACAGGTTAGTATTCCACAGGTTAGTATTGCACAGGTTAGTATTGCACAGGTTAGTGTTGCACAGGTTAGTATTGCACATGTTAGTATTGCACAGGTTAGTGTTGCACAGGTTAGTGTTGCACAGGTTAGTATTGCACAGGGAAGCATTGCACAAGTTAGTATTGCACAGGTAAATATTGCACAGGCTAGTATTGCACAGGTTAGTATTGCACAGGTTAGTATTGCACAGGCTTATATTGCACAGGTTAGTATTGCACAGGTTAGTATTGCACAGGTTAGTAGTGCACGGGCTAGTATTGCACAGGCTAGTATTGCACAGGTTAGGATTGCACAGCTTAGTATTTGACAGGCTAGTATTGCACAGGTTAGTATTGCACAGGTTAGTGTTGCACAGGTTAGTATTGCACAGGTTAGTATTGCACAGGTTTGTATTGCACAGGCTAGTATTGCACAGGTTAATATTGCACAGGTTAGTATTGCATAGGTTAGTTTTGAACAGGCTAGTATTGCACAGGAAAGCATTGCACAGGTTAGGATTGCACAGGTTAGTATTGCACAGGCTAGTATTGCACAGGTTAGTATTGCACAGGGAAGCATTGCACAAGTTAGTATTGCACAGGTAAATATTGCACAGGCTAGTATTGCACAGGTTAGTATTGCACAGGTTAGTATTGCACAGGCTTATATTGCACAGGTTAGTATTGCACAGGTTAGTATTGCACAGGTTAGTAGTGCACGGGCTAGTATTGCACAGGCTAGTATTGCACAGGTTAGGATTGCACAGCTTAGTATTTGACAGGCTAGTATTGCACAGGTTAGTATTGCACAGGTTAGTGTTGCACAGGTTAGTATTGCACAGGTTAGTATTGCACAGGTTTGTATTGCACAGGCTAGTATTGCACAGGTTAATATTGCACAGGTTAGTATTGCATAGGTTAGTTTTGAACAGGCTAGTATTGCACAGGAAAGCATTGCACAGGTTAGTATTGCACAGGCTAGTATTGCACAGGTTAGTATTGCACAGGGAAGCATTGCACAAGTTAGTATTGCACAGGTTTATATTGCACAGGCTAGTATTGCACAGGCTAGTATTGCATGGGTTAGTATTGCACAGGTTAGTTTTGCACAGGAAAGCATTGCACAGGCTAGTATTGCACAGGTTAGGATTGCACAGCTTAGTATTTGACAGGCTAGTATTGCACAGGTTAGTATTGCACAGGTTAGTGTTGCACAGGTTAGTATTGCACAGGTTAGTATTGCACAGGTTTGTATTGCACAGGCTAGTATTGCACAGGTTAATATTGCACAGGTTAGTATTGCATAGGTTAGTTTTGAACAGGCTAGTATTGCACAGGAAAGCATTGCACAGGTTAGTATTGCACAGGCTAGTATTGCACAGGTTAGTATTGCACAGGGAAGCATTGCACAAGTTAGTATTGCACAGGTTTATATTGCACAGGCTAGTATTGCACAGGCTAGTATTGGACAGGTTAGTATTGCACAGGTTAGTTTTGCACAGGAAAGCATTGCACAGGTTAGTATTACACAGGCTAGTGTTGCACAGGCTAGTATTGCACAGGCTAGTATTGCACAGGTTAGTATTGCACAGGTTAGTATTGCACAGGAAAGCATTGCACAGGTTAGTATTGCACAGGAAACCATTGCACAGGAAAGCATTGCACAGGTTAGTATTGCACAGGCTAGTATTGCACAGGTAAGTAGGTCACAGGTAAGTAGTGCACAGGTAAGTAGGTCACAGCTAAGTAGTGCACAGGTAAGCATTGCACAGGTAAGTAGTGCACAGGTAAGTAGTGCACAGGCAAGTATCTCACAGGTAAGTAGTGCACAGGTAAGTAGGTCACAGCTAAGTATCGCACAGGTAAATAGTGCACAGGTAAGTAGGTCACAGGTAAGTATCGCACAGGTAAGTAGTGCACAGGTAAGTAGTGCACAGGTAAGTAGGTCACAGCTAAGTATCGCACAGGTAAATAGTGCACAGGTAAGTATCTCACAGGTAAGTAGTGCACAGTAGGTCACAAGTAAGTAGGTCACAGGTAAGTATCGCACAGATAAGTAGGTGAGTAGTGCACAGGTTAGTATACAGGTAAATGGACTGCATTTATATAGCGCTTTCACAGACCCAATGGCCACCAAAGCGCTTTACATTTTGCCTCACATTCACCCATTCACTTACTCATTCATACGACGGCGGTGTCAGCCATGAAAGGCGCCAGGTAAGTTTTGCACAGGTTAGTAGTGCACAGGTTAGTAGTGCACAGGTAAGTAGTGCACAGGTAAGTAGTGCACAGGTTAGTAGTGCACAGGTAAGTTTTGCACAGGTTAGTAGTGCACAGGTAAGTAGTGCACAGGTAAGTAGTGCACAGGTAAGTTTTGCACAGGTTAGTAGTGCACAGGTAAGTAGTGCACAGGTAAGTAGTGCACAGATAGGTAGTGCACAGGTAAGTTTTGCACAGGTAGGTAGTGCACAGGTAAGTAGTGCACAGGTTACTAGTGCACAGGTAAGTAGTGCACAGGTAAGTAGTGCACAGGTAGGTAGTGCACAGGTAAGTTTTGCACAGGTAAGTAGTGCACAGGTAAGTAGTGCACAGGTTAGTAGTGCACAGGTAAGTTTTGCACAGGTTAGTAGTGCACAGGTAGGTAGTGCACAGGTAAGTTTTGCACAGGTTAGTAGTGCACAGGTAGGTAGTGCACAGGTAAGTTTTGCACAGGTTAGTAGTGCACAGGTAAGTAGTGCACAGGTAGATAGTCAGGTAGAAATTCAGGGTTGAACAACGAGACCAGACAATGTGAACTGGGTGTGCTGGTCTTTATGGTGACTGTTATGATTGCGTGCAGGTGCTGCTGATCAGTAATCAGGTGATTAGGAATGTGTGTAGGAATCTGGTGCTGAGTCTGGTGTGTGTGGCTGATTCTGTGACAACTGTGATGTTAAATGTGTTTATTTATTCATTTATTTACATTTCAATTTTGCAATTCACATTTATGTGTATTTAGCGCTTTTCACAATACACATCGTTTAAAAGCAGCTTTACAGAAAATGCATGAGTCCACATTACAATTTACAGTGATTTGGAATCAGAGGTGACTGTCTAAGTTATGTATTTCAGAAATGTACATAATTCAAAATCTCAGTTAGCTAAAAATGTATTCATATAAACAATGTAATAATTTAAGACAGAAACAAAATTATTTAAGTAATTTCATTTTAAAAGTATACTTAAAAGCATCTGATTCCATAACTACTTCAATTAATCAGTCTCGATTTAAAAAAAATACATTTTCAATTATATCTGCATATTTAACACAGTGTGTTTGATCCTTAAAGGGACAGTTCACCCCCAAAAAAAGAAAATTCTGTCATCATTCTGATCTTCAACCGGTATGAGTTTCTTACTTCTGTTGAACACAAAAGTAGATATTTTAAAGAATTTTGGGAACCACTCAACATTAAGTAGTGTTTTTTTTTATCTATGGAAGTCAATCATCATCGGTTTGATTTCATTCTTTAAAAAATCATCTTCTGTTTTCAACAAAAGAACCAACATGAGGGCGAATAAATGACAGATCGCTTTTTTTTTTTAGTGACTATCCCTTTAAATAGAGACAGATGGAGACAGACATTCACAATGAAAGTTTTATTATTCATTTAGCAATCATAAATAGCTTATGCAAAAACATTGCAACTGCTGGCAAAGTTGATCTGAGAGCACATTTGCAGGAATTATTAATGTACTACTTCAGACGTAAAATTCCTTCATTACACAAGCGTCACAAAGAGTATCAGGTCAGTGTTTCAGGAGGAACATTTGATCGAGAATCATATTGAACGTCCAGAAGGACCTTGATAAATACAAAAACAGTAGATCAACACTGTACAAACATCAGATCAGGCACATGGTAAAAGTGTCAGCATATTTCCACGAGGTGGATCACATTCTGGGATGTAATAAAACAGAAAGCAGCTTCAGTGTTTGTTGTCCAGCAGAAGAACCTGCATTAAGCTTATGAGAATATAAAGGCACACGAGCAGCTCCGGCACGCGCTCTTATCTCGCTCTATATTTGGAAGCACAAATATGTTATCAGCTTTTGAGTTTTGAAAGGATAAACTCATACAGACGTGCATCTGCATTTGAGAACACAGATGTACAGGATAAAGGTGAGACTCTGGATTACACACGTTCACACCAAGCACGATAACTATAAAGATATAGTTCGAAAAATCGTTCTCGATATATAACGATACGGATATGAGGAACGATATCGTTAGGATCACTTTCAGAACGATTTTTTTCCAGCTGTCGAACGATAAAACACTGACAGCCAATCAGAATCCACTCGAAAATAAAGAACTCGCGCTTTTAAAATGGAAGACGACATTGTGGAGGAGTAAATCGTAGTTTTTTGTGTTGTTTTTATTCCACTATTGCTAGTTAAAAACGTGTGACAAACTGATCCAAACAGGTCCATTTCCGCTGCTTTGAAACCGCAGCACGGGCTTAGAATAAAAAGACCATTATCGTTTGTTGGTGTGGACGCGAATATAGTTGGATTATAAAATACAAACGGGTATGATTTTAAAACAGTTTAATCTGAAATCAATATCTCTGATGTGTTGAAATGCTGTGTAATAACTGTGTTATGACTGTAAACCGTATCTCTTACATGTCCGTCTAGTTTGATCTCGCCGCTGAAACTGCTCTCTCCAGCTTTGCGTTTATAGAGATAATAACATATTTCAACTCAGATCAATATTTCATGTCTAATTATTTACTGTTGTGGCAAGTAACGTGTAATAAGCGGGATAATGTACATCCAGCCGGTTGTTATCTCAGAATGAACCCCTTCAGGTGTGTGTGTGTGTGTGTGTGTCGTGTGACCCTGTCGGGTTTATCCTGATATAACTACCGGCTGGATGTACATTATCTCTTACTTATAGTTATCGTTCTTGGTGTGAACGGCCTTCATGATGGTTGAAACGACTGGCACCAGAACTGATACAAACATCTTTCAAATATTTGGCATATGGAGCTTTCCACAGGGCCGCTGCGGATTGCGGCTCGGACCGGATCACGAGGCGTATCCGGGTTGTGGCGAGACTCGTAGCAGACAGCGCTTGTGCTTCATGGTCAGCCCGTATTCTGGTGTCATATCCAGCATTTCTCCCGGCATCCCGCTGAACTTTAACCTCTGGAGAAGGATGGCCAGGAACAGGAAGACTTCGGCCCGCCCGATGGACTCTCCGATGCAGCGCCGCTTGCCCAGGCCGAACACCAGAACCTTCTCTCCTTCGGTCTTGTTGAGGTCCGTCCCGTCGGCGCTGAGGAACCGGTCAGGGTTGAAGCACGACGGATCCTTCCACAGTTCCCTGCAAGAACAGACAGAAGCGTCACTGCACTGCTGGTCCACTGTTCTCACCTGTAAACATACAGCGTTTGACACTTGGTGCTCTTTGGTCATTTGTGTTTTTGTTTCTTCATCGGAATGGTAAGAAACTTGGTAAAGGTTTTGGCACTTGCTTTGTGAACACACACAAACAAATCATTTATTATATTGTACCAGTTCAATATGTCATGGACATGATCTGAACAGGTTTAATGGTCCTGATAACAACGGTCACACTTGTGCTCCTCGCGGTCAGAAACGAGCGCATTGTAAATGAATGAGAGTTTCCTCTAGTGGAAGCGTGTGGAACTGCAGCCGAACACACTCTCACTGACGCTCGTTTACTGAGAGATCGGCTCACATGCGGAACACACACTTATTTAGATTTTACTCACAGTTTAAGAGTAAAACAAGTTTTTATTTATTTCATATAAAAATTTAAAATAGTGTTTTTACAAATTTTTCATAACAATAAACGTACAATTCTGCAAGTTCACTTTTTAAAACAGTTTTCACTTCAGCAATAATCTGCCGAGTGTCGTCTCTGAGAAGAGATCAAACTTCAGTCTGTCCTCTGAAGCGTTCAAGATTTACCAGTTTAAGCTGGAAATTAATTTTTCAGTTCTACGCTCAAAAAGTGAATAAATGGATTATAAATAGAGCGTAAATATAATTTTGTACCATAAAATCCCCTAAAAATACAAAATATTAAATTAAAAACATTATCGAACTAAAATATAGTACATTCATTTCATTGAAATGAAAAAATAAATTTCGGTCATTTTTGACCGACACAAAGAGCACCAGAGGGTTAAACTTGACTGTGCTTTTTTTTTGTTTTTTTTACACTACCCTTGTTTCCTTATTTGTTTAAAGTCCCCCTGTGGTGAAAATCCAGCATTTATTGTTGTTTATGTGTCTATGTGGTGTGTTTAATACGCTTTAAGACACACCATGTGTAAGTTCATAAGTCGACAGCATTGCTGAGTATTTCCTCCTTAAAACTGCAGTGAACCAAAGACAGTCTCAAACACACGGTTTGAAATCGCTGGTGTTTCTGACGTCACAAACGACCTTGTAACCAATCAGATCAACGTGTGATCGTCAACCAGTGGATCTCTGAGCGGAGTGAGTGAGTGGAGGCGGGGCTCATCTGCATATTCATAGAACCGCGCATACTAAATGAGGTGAGGGTGTCGAGTTACATTCAAGATATTTTAAGACATGAAGGAAAAAACTTTTAAATATGTCATTTTGGTGATCAAAGATAAAGATACAATTATTGACTATATAGGGGTACTTTAAATCTATTTTAAGCAATTTTCATTTACTATTTATTTTAATCCATTTAATTATAATATTTACATATCTATTAATATATTTTTTATTATTTATACCACCTAATACTAATTTATTATACTATAAACTATACCAGTTTAAAATATCATTAGGGAAAAATGCATTATATTATTTAAATATATTTGTATTTTTTAAGCAATTTTTATTGTTTGCTTATTTGAATGTAATGTTCAAATTAAATATATTTAAAATCATTGTACCATAGTATCGCCACAGACAGTACACTCATTTATTATATAATACCAGTTCAAATTATTATTAGGAAAAAGAAAATGTATTATTTAATTATTGACTGATTGAAATAAAGTTGTATTGTTTGCTTATTTTAATCTGACTTAAATATATTAAATAGTAAATATATATTTCAAATCAGTACTTTTGTTAAACCCACATTAGTACAGTGATACTGTAAACGCATGAACTCATGGTAATAAACTCACGGGTCGTGGTTGACTTGCCACTGGTTTATAAACACACAGGTGTCTCTGGGAATGAAGTATCCATTGAGCGACGTGTCTTTAGACGTACTGAAAGAGAAGAACACAGCACAGTTAGCTCGAGTCACGCGTGTGCTCTGTTAGATCATGAAGCCGTCTGGAACTCACCAGTGAGGAATGGTGAACGGGAGGAAGGAGGAGTGCCGGAAGATCTCCAGGATAAAGGCCTCGAGAAGCGGCAGGTCCGTTCGGTCCGACAAGCGTGGCGTTCGATCCATTCCGATCTTCTCTTCTGGAAAACATTCATGCCATTTGTCAGATCAGATGTCGGTTATGTTTAACGGTGGACCTTTTTTCTACAAATCATCCTTCAATATGTATTCATGTGAATCGCCACCTCGTAAAAAACAGTTGCATTTAAATGCAATAGAGTTTAACTCCAATATCTCTCTATGTAAACAGACTCACTCAGTTCTCCCTGCAGGCGTTCCTGGATCTCGGGATAGGCCACTAGATAGACGACAGCCCAGGACAGAGCCGTGCTGATGGTGTCGAAGCCTGCCGATGAGCACACACACACACACACACACGCTTTAGTGTCATTCATGTTCCCGTATGAACATTCTGGCCGATACCAATAATTCTTTATATTTAAAGGCCGATAACCGATATATATTGGCTGATAAATCTAAATACAAATGTTTATATAATTTTTTAAAGCCTGATTACAAAAAAAAAGTAATTCATACACACATATGTACATTCTGGCCGATACCGATAACCGATAATTCTTTATATTTGAAGGCCAATAACGGATATATTGGCCAAAAAATCTAAATACAAATTTTTATACAATTTTTTTAAAGCCTTATTACAAAAGAAATGTCATCCATGCGACCATTTCAACATTATGGCTGATACCGAAAACAGATATCTGTTTATATTTGAAAGCCGATAACCAATATATATTCTGATAAATCTACATTCAGATTTTTATATGATTTTTGAAAGCCTGATTACAAAAAAATAAAGTCATCCATGCACACCTATGAACATTCTGGCTGATAACCGATAATTCTTTATATTTGAAAGCCGATAACCGATATATATTGGCCGATAAACCTAAATCCAAATTTTTATATAAGTTTTTAAAGCCTGATTACAAAAAAAAAAGTAATTCATGCAAACATATGAACATTCTGGCCGATACCGAAAAACCGATAATTCTTTAAATTTGAAAACCGATAACCGATATATTGACCGATAAATCAAAATCCAAATTTTTATGTTATTTTTGAAAGCCTGATTACAAAAACAAAAGTCTCATCATTAAAAGCCAAGTCCCAAACACACAATTATAATGTTCTCATTATAATTGTATATAGCCGATATTACACGTTGCACTTTTTGTATTTTCCTTTTTGAAGTGATTTTAATCATATTTCAATTCAAAACCATCATGGTGAACAGTGCGCATCTGAAGCGTCTCAGCTGGAGGAAACAATACATTATTTATCGGCTTTAATTTATCGGACAAATATATCGGTTTAAATAACATTTCAAATGAGCATATCTCGACTGATGCCGATATCTCGTGCATCCCTAATCCAGAACTCACCGGCTCCGAAGAGGTCGTTGACGATTCCGACGATCTTCTCATCGGACACTTGAACGTTGGAGTTCTCGTCCAGCTTGCGGTCTTCGCAGTGGTCGATGAGCGAGTCGGTGATGTCACGGATGTTGTCCTGAAACACATTTCGCAGTATTGAGCGATTTGTTGAGCGAAACTGACACAGTTATTGAACTGAACTGAATAAACATTGATCTGAAGAACAACACTGTCTTTCTTAAAAACTGATCTGACGTATAAAAGCGCTCACCTTGTCGAACGTGTCGTAATGATCCGAGACGATCTTCTGGATGAACTTGTTGAAGCGAGCGTTAATGGCAAAGAATTTCTTCATGGATGCACTGGGAAAGATGCGCAGGAATGGGATGAAATCCGCAGGATTCCCGCTCCCAACGATCTTCCCGAACTCGTCGGTCAGGTTCACCAAACCCACCAGTTCGTCGTCGTCGTGGCTGTAGCGGCGGCCGAAGCAGATCCCGCAGATCACGTTCGCCACGGACACCACGATGTGCCGGAACGGGTCGAAGCTCCCGTCGGACTTCATGACGCTGTGAAGCCTCTGGATCAGATACAGTCCCTCTTTGCTGATGTGTTCCTCCAAAGCGCAGGAATACTCGGAGCTCTCGCCCTGAACCGTGGAGAAGGTCCTCAGAGCGCTAAGAGCTAGCTTCCGACGCGCACGCCACACTCCCACCTGATCCGTGCTGAAGGCCAAACTCTTCCCGTCGCTGATGAACCTGGTGCTGTAGAGGTCGGGACGCCCGGAGAACTCGTCGCCCTGTTTGAGGAGCGCCTGTCGGATCACCTCGTTCCCGCTGAGCACCACCACGGGACGCGTGCCGATCTGGATCTGGAAGACCGGCCCGTAACACTTACTCATGGCGGTCAGGCTCAGGTGCGGGTTGCTTCCCACTTCCAGAACGTTCCCGATGATGGGAAGAGGCTTGGGTCCGGGAAGCTTCAGGAGCCCGTCGGGAATCTTGGTGCGCATGAGGCGCATTAGCAGATACACAACACATATGGTGATGATGGCCACGAGGCTCTCGGACACGGAGATCGGGCCCAGGACCGGAACGACCGTTAGAGGCATTGCTGAGCGGGTTACCTGTGCAAAACAAGAGAGATCAAAACCACTGACGGAGAGAGAGAGAAATAATGTAGGAATACTAAACAAAAGATGTGTCTTTCTGCAAGCTGTGGGTTTTTAGTTCATGGATGCAAATAACTGAAATATTTGTGCAGTTTAACCAATGCATATTGTTTGGTTATTTTTGTAAAATCTATTAATGATAAACTAAACTTGGAGTGATTTGCCTCAAGGTCAGCACACACACACACACACACACACACGTTAGAGGCATTGCTGAACGAGTTACCTGGGCAAAACAACACCGAGATCAATATACGGCGGACTGAGACGGGAGGATTAATGTAGCGCTATACTAAAAGAAAGGTGTGTCTTTCTGCAACCATTGCATGAGGTTTATTAGTTTGTGCATGCAACTAACTGATATATTTGTGCAGTTTAACCAATGCATATTGTTTGGTTATTTGCATTTCGCAAAATCCATTAATGATAAACTACACGTGGAGTGATTTGCCTCAAGGTCAGCACATATCTCAGACACACACACCTTTAAACTTTCAGCAAATGCCCTATAATACACTGATTCATGCAGTGCAAAACTTTCTGAACAAAGGAACATAGGCAAGAGTCAATGAATACACACACACACACATATATATATATATGTATATATGTATATATTTATATATATCTATAATAAAATTAAGTTTATATTTAAATCTAAAAACTCTAATAATAAAAGCATTTTGACCATGCACACCACCAGTCAGTGAACAAGCAGTACAATATTGTGTAAAACAAGTAAGAAACTAGAAAGAATTCACAGTTTGCAGTCAAAATTATTAAATGACATCTGCACATATGATCAAATATTCACTGAATGAAAAAGGCATCGACAGCTGACTTACACAGAGTGATCTGACGAATATTTCCCTGTCTGTTCTCTTCTCTTCTGAATCTGTGTATCCAGAGTCAATCTGCGTGTGTTGAGGAGTCCTGCGCGAGGAGCTTTATAGAGGACAGCGCGTCGCGATTGGCTGAGCGCTCGCGTGACGTCATGATCTGTGAATGAGAATCCGTGATTTGAGATTTATTACTGATCATCGTTCAGCGCAACATTAATGAGACTGGGTTCTCTTGCCTTTCCACAAATCTATATGACAATATTTTTGTAAATTAACAAAAAAAATTATATATATATATATATATATATATATATATATATATATATAGTTTTTTTTTTTTTTTTTTTTTTTTTATATAAAATGTAAATTCCACACGGAAACTTAAAAAACAATGAACAATGAACATAATGATCGGAATTCAACAATGTTTTAGTATATCTTACTTATATTTTTCAAAATTCCCTTTAATCAATTAATCAATCAATAAATAAATAAATAATGTGAAACTATAAAAGACCCTATATGTATTTAAATAAGTTAAGCTTTGTTGGGGAATATTTTTTATGTGAAACTAATTCAATTCACATTTATTTGTATAATAGCCATCGTTTCAAAGCAGCTTTACGGAAAATGTCCATATTACAATTTATGAGTGATCTGTTATCAGAGGAAACTGCAAGTTATGTATTTCAGAAATGTACATATACAAATCATACAGTTAGCTAAAAATTTATTAATTAAAGGCAGAAACAATGAGCTCATTGAAGTAATGATCTTGTTTGTTAACAAATTAATATGACAGAAAAATTGTAGCATTGGTGCATGTTGATTTAGAGCTTGCGTCATTAATCAATGCATAGACCGAGAAAATAAATGCACAATAGATTAAATATCATATAAATCTGAAAAATACACAGCTCTAGAACAGGCGTAATGCATGTAAATAGAAAAAATGAAAGAATGAACGTAAACACGCTTCTTCTTGTTCATTGATCTGATCTTAATCGTTAGAATTAGTGCCATAAATTCGTTTGACAGTGTCAGCAATTATAGGACTAAATAAATAGTTTATTGACATCTGATGATTGCCTACAAGACACAGTCGCGCATTGATCTGCGGGTTCATGTTCCGCCTGGCACGCGCTCATTAAGCAACAGGTAAAGCATCGCGTGCAAAGGTGTGTGCGTTTCAGAGCCCCTGCACTACAGCTCTAGCGTGCAAAGGTGTGTGTGTGTGTGTTTCAGAGCCCCTGCACTACATGTTCACAGTTCTCGCTCGCTGTGTCAACAGGAAAAGCCGCCAGAATGGAGTAAAAGCGTGTGACCCTCGAAGAGCTGCAGTAAATCAGAGTCTCTGAGTTCTGTGGTCGGTTTCCTTTGAAGAGTCTCGCGACCTCAGACTGTTATCGTGATTTGAAGCACGCTCAGATAAACAGCATCGCGTGCGTGCACCTGTGGCGCGCGGGTTAAACATTGCCCGCGTTGCGTGAGAGCGCGAGCGCGCGTGCGCGAGGATGCTGGAGGGGCAAACGAGTTCAGTTTCTTCATGAGTTCAGTAACTTCAGGAGTTCAGTTCTTCACCATAAACTGCATCTAGAGATCCTTCATCTGTCCCGATTCTGTCATGCACGCGCAGTGATTTACCTGTGATTTCAGCAGTGCACGCTTTTGTTTCAGTCGTTTCTTTTGCATTTCGACTCTCTTTACTTTAGAAATCATCTCGCTGAATGAGAATGAGATGTTCTGCGCCACTGATCATCTTCAGAGGGTTTGTGTGTTTAGTTGATTAAAGATCATGTCATGAAGGATCTGGTGAGAGTGAATGTCCCTCTAATGTCCTAAAACATATGCACGAAATATACAAGCTACTTTTAGCGTGGTAGGCTATATTATATTATATTATATTATAGCACTATTATATTATAGCACTATTATATGTGTTATTATAATTAATATATTTTTAATGTTTTTTTTTATTTACAATGATGACAAATTCACTAGTAAAGTGACAAAAATAGGCTTTGTGTGTGTGTGTGTGTGTGGGTGTGTGTGTGTGTGCGTGGGAGTGGGAGTGGGTGTGTGTGGCTCGTTGTTCAGCTCGGTCAGTCACGCGAAGGCTCTTGTCTTCAGGGTTTCTGCGGTGAATGGATCGCTCAGCTCGACTCACGCAAACTCACGCAAACTCCGGTTAATCTTCACTGAC